GACCTCACTAAAACCACCTGATCTGAGAATGGGGGTGGTGTTTCCCCAGAGGGAATGGGAAGAGACCAAACTGGACAGGACAGAGAGCAGCTGCTAACCAACCATCTCTTCTCTCTCTCTCCTGTCTCCCAGTGTTCCCCAGTCAGCTACAGGTACACATGGTACTACAACTCTGCCCTGTGCTTGGGGACCACAGGTATTCTGCCCGTGTGGGCACTGTCCTGGGCCAGCGCTTTTTACTGCCAGCTGAGAGCACCAAACCTCAAAGACAGGTACACAAGCTGACCTGTCTTCTGCCTTCTGGGGGTGGGTTGGGGGACAAGGGTGGGCAGCATCTCAACATTACCTATGCAGCTTGGGACTGGGAGGCAGTCCTCTTGGCTTCCAAAGCTATCTGTAGCCCTGTCTTGCTGTATGGCTCTAAGCAAGCGACACCTGCTCTCTTGGGCCTCACTCTGCCAATCTGTTCAATAAGGGAGTTGAACTAGCAGATTTCCAAAGGCCCGTCTAAGTCTGCTGTTCTTTGAGTCTCTTTGGTATAAGGGGTAAAAAAGGTTGTGTTAATTAAGGTAACTATCAGTTCTAACAGAGTAGCCCCAAAGTATTAGTCTTAACACATTAATTTCCCTCCATGGTAAGTATGATTAATGGGGGTGGGATAGAGGTGGGCTTTGCTCCAAGGAGTCACTCAGGGACCCAGGCTGATGCTATCTAGCCAGCAGATAAGTGGGATCAGTGTAGGTTCATGTGGGCGATTTTCACGGGCTAGGTCTGGAAGCAGCATACCTACTCCCACTCCCATTTCATTGGCTAGAACTCAAACACATATCCTCACCAAACTGCAAGAGGGGCTGGGAAATGTAGTTTAGCTCTATGCCCAGGCAGAAACTGACTTGGTGGACCCCTAGCCAGTGTCTGCCATAGTGAGTGTGTGTGAGTGTATGAACGTGTACTTGTAGAAACAAATGAATGCGCACATGGAGGGAAAGAGGAAGTACTTGCCTCACTCCCATTATGGTTAGAGCTGGTTGGAACTGACCTGGCTGAATGCTGACATGCCTCTCCCACCCCAGGTCCTGGATGAAGCCCTCCTCAGACGCCTCCACCTGACACCTTCCCAGGCTGCCCAGCTGCCCTTGCACCTCCACCTGCATTGTCTCCACCTCCCAGGCACCAAGCCTAGGGATGCCCCCATAGAGCTTTTGGCCCCTTTGCCCCCTTATTTCTCTAGGACCCTACAGTGCCTGGGGCTCCGCCAACAATAATCCTCCTCCTGTTCCTGCTGCTCCTACTGGAAAGTGGTGGGTGTGGGGGGACTGCACGCCTGAGGACAATGAGTTCGGTGCACAACATGCGGTAAGGTCATGGTTTAAGACCCTGAGCTCTGTAGTTGGACTAACCTAAGATCAAATCCTGGCTAGGCACTTGCTGTGTGGTGCTGGACAAATAACTTCACCTCTCTGGATTTGAGATAATAAATGTACCTAACTCGTAGTATGGTTTTGAGGATTTGCCAAGAAAGTAAATGTTTATCATGGACCATGCTCTCTGTTGAGTTCAATGTGTGGCCTTTTATTTGGCTGTTTCTGCCTCACTTTCTAGCTGGGAAAAAATGTTAGATTTTTTAATTGTGGTAAAACACACCTAAGAAGATTTACCATCTTAACCATTGTTCAGCGGCATTAAGCACATTCACAATGTTTTGCAACCATCACCATCATCCATCTCCAGAACTCTCATTTTGCAGAACTGAAACTCATTCCCCCTCCCAGCCCCTAGTAACCACCATTCTCTTTTGTCTCTATGAATTTGACTACTCTAGCAAACCTCATATAAGCGGAGATGTGATATTTTTTTACTTTAAAAAATTGTGAAATAGCCCAGCCAGTGTGTCTCAGTGGTTGAGTATCAACCCATGAAACTGGAGGTCACCATCTGATTTCGCAGTCAGGGCCCAGGCCCAGGTTGTGGGCTCGATCCCCAGTAGGGGTGTGCAGGAGGCAGCCAACTGATGATTCTCTCTCATCATTGATGCTTCTCTCTCCCTCTCCCTTCCTCTCTCTGAAGTCAATAAAGACATATTTTTTTTAAATTGTGAAATGTTTTTAAACATACAGAGTGTATAAAACATCTCTGATTTAAATAATAATTATAAGGTGACAGCCATATAACCATGACTCGGGGCATGAAATAGAAACATCCTCTCTTGTACAGCAGCAGTTCTCAACCCTAACCCACATTAGAAACCCCTTATGTAGCCCCCTCAGGAAGCTTTTAGAAATCCCCATGATTATACACCCCAAAGACACTGGTTTGATCAGTTTGGGGTGGAGCCCCCTAGCATCAATCTCTCTTAAAAGCTCCCTAAGAGGTTCAGTATAGGTTGGAACCACTGCCCTGACAGGAGAATTCTTCCCTTGCTTGTCTTTTAAGTTTTACCACATATGTATGCATTCTTAAAATGATTTACAGTGGTACCTTGGTTTTCGAATGTAAACCGTTCCGGAAGACTGTTCGAGTTCTGAAACATTCAACAGTGAGGCCTCAGGATCTTGCCCTCAGCGGGAGCCGTGTGGCATGTTCGACTTTGGAGGTGTGTTCGAGAACCGAAGCATTTCCTTCCAGGTTTACAGCGTTCCTAAACCCAAACATTCGTGAACAGACACATTCAAAAACCAAGGTACCACTGTATTTTATTTTGCCTAGTTCCCAAATTTCTGTAAGTGGAATCATGTTGTATATATTCTTTTGGTTTTTTTTAAATTTATTTAAAAAAATTTTAAATTTATCTTTATTGTTGAAAGTATTACAGATGTTCCCTTTTTCCCCCATTAATCCCCTCCACCCCACATCCACCCCACTCCCAGGCCTTCCCCATAACAATGTCTGTGTCCATGGGTTATGCTTATAGACATGTTCTTTGATTAATCTCTCCCAACCCACTCCTCCACCCCCACTTTCCCTCTGAGATCCTTCAGTCTGTTCCATGCTTCTATGTTTCTGTATCTATTTTGTTCATCAGTTTATTTTGTTACATTCCACATATGAGTGAGATCATGTGGTACTTGTCTTTCTGTGGCTGGTTTATTTGGCTAAGCATAATACTCTCCATGCTGTCCCAAAGGATAAGTGATCCTTTTTTTACAGCTGCATAGTATTCCATGGTGTAATTTTCCCACAGCTTTTTATCCACTCATCTACTGATGGCACTTGAGAAGAGTGTATATTCTGCAGCCTTGGGGTGGAATGTTCTGTAAATGTCAATTAAATCTATCTGATCTGGTGTGACATTTAGGGTCACTGTTTCCTTATTGATTTTTTTGTCTGAAAGACCTATCCAGTGAAATCAGTAGGGTGTTAAAGTCCCCTACTATGACTGTCTTGCTGTCAATCTCTCCCCTAAAGTCCTCTATAAGTTTTTTTAAAAAATTTAGGTGCTCCTATATTGGGTGCATATGTTTATCATGCTCTTGTTCTTGTTGGAGCGATCCCTTTAGTATTATGTAGTGACCTTTCTTGTCTCTCATTATGGTCTTCATTTTGAAGTCTATTTTGTCCGATATGAGTATTGCTACCCCAGCTTTTTTTTTTTTTTCATTTCCATTTGCATGGGAAATTTTTTTCCATCCCTTCACTCTCATCCTGTGTGAGTCTTTTGTTTTGAGGTGGGTCTCTTACAGTATGTATTTTGTGATTTACTCTCACTAAATACTGAAAAATGCATCTGTGTTGTATGGTTTGGAATTTGAATTCCAGTGCTTGAATATACCAGTTTATCCATTCTGTTAATGGACATTTGGGTCATTTGACTGTTACCGCAATGTTGCTGTGAACCTGCTTCTAAGCATTTCCTGGTTGTTATACAAGAATGTCTGGCTCAGAGTATATGTATCTTCATTTGCGTTAATGTATTAGTTTCCTAGGGCTGCCATAGCAAATTACAACCTGAGTGACTTAAAACAACAGTAATTAATTCTCTCACGGTTCTGGAGGCCAAAAGTTTGATATCAAGGTATTGACAAGGCTGTGCTCTCTCTGAAGGTTCTAGGGGAGAATCCTTCCTGGCCTCTTTCAGCTTTTAGTGGCTCCAAGTGTTCCTTGGCTTGTGGCTGCATCACACCAGTCTCTGCCTCCATCTTTACATTGCCTTCTCGTGTTTGTGTGTTTTCTTCTGACTCTTAAAAGGACACTTATCATTGGATTTCCAGGATGATCTCATCTTAAGATCTTTATAAGAGCATTGGCCAGTGTGGCTCAGTGATTAGACTGTCAGCCCATGAACTGAAAGGTCTCAGGTTCCATTCCTGGTCAAGGGCACATGCCTGTATTGCAGGTTTGATCCCCAGCTCCGGTAGGGGTGTGTGCAGGAGGCAACCAATTAATGTGTCTCTGTCACATCAGTTTCTCTCTCTCTCTCTCTCTCTCTCTCTCTGCCCCTTCCCTCCCTCCCTCCCACTCTCTAAAAAAATCAATGGAAAAAAATATCCTCAAGTGAGGATTAACAAAAAAACAACAAAAAAGATCTTTACAACATATTACATCTGCAAAGACCCTTTTACCAAATAAAATCATATTAACAGGTTCTAGGTAGACCTATCTTTGGGTGGGTACCATTCAACCCACCCATTACCACTAAGAAATACCTAACTTTTCAGATTGGTAATAGCTTGTTGGATATTTTATTTTTAGGTGACCTTGGCCCCTTGCTGAGGAAGGGATAGACACACTCCCTCTGGAGAAGGGCTGGGGTTCAGGCAAGGTCCATCCTTCCCCCTATGTGTCATGTTGTAAATCTTGTGCCCATTAGATGTCAGCCCAGCGCCTCCTCTGGTCTTGGGGATTTGGGGGATTCCCAGTGGTCAGCCATTCTGGCAGTGTGTCCCAGACATTTGCCCACTGCCCCATTGGGCAAGCCATGTCTCCTCATTCAGACTGTTTCCTCTTCTGTAAAGTAAGGCTTATCCCCCCACCCAAAGATCAGAAAGTTCCTGAACAAGAATCCCCATGTCTGCCACTATGTGGGAATTCTGGACCTTACTTCCTGCAGAAGTTGCTGATGGCCTCTAACTCTTGTTCTAGACTTTGGGGTACAGAGCCCCACTGTACCCTCTCTTCACCCTCCAACAGAAACTGAGCCAAGCCAAGAATACTTTACTTGCTCATTTTTATTTGGCACTGCATCTGGCATGGGGGCAATGAGGTTTGAAGCAAGGGCTTCTCTAGCCTCATATCCCCCATACGCCCTAAACCCTGGTGTGCACTGATTAGGGGCAGGGGTTCCGGAAGGCTCAGCGTCTTCATGGGGCATGCTTCAGCCTTGGATCTGTCACAGAGTCTGGCCTTGAACTCGCCTCTGGCCTTGATCTTCCTATGTGTGCTAGGAAGATTTCCGACTTCAAAGGGTAGAGGCCGCAAGGCACCTCCAGGATGGGAACCACGAAGGCGCTTGGGAGCCACAGCCTCGGTGTGAAAGGAGGGGAGAAGGGGAAGAGATGATCAGGAATTTGTCCAGGAAGGAAATTCTGAGGGAAATAAGCCCTCCCCTTGGGGCTCCAGCCAGTCTGGGAGCTGCCCTCTGCCTGTGCCCTCCAGCCCTGACCCCAGCACTCAGCATTGCCCACCAGGGTACGAGTCATAGTTTGAGGCCCACCTTTCTTGGTTTCAGGATGGTGGGTGTCTGCTTGAGTTCAGGGTTAGGTAGGAGGGAAATTAAAACCTTGGCGGTAGGTAGAATCATCAAGGGTTTGCCCGTGGTCAACAGGGCCTTAGAGCCCACCAGCTTGCTGTGCTGCAGTCTGGGGACGCGCCCCTGGGGTCGGAGCACATGGAGAGAAGGCAGCCGGACCTTGGTGTGGAGGCTGGGGAAGTGGTAAGGGGCTGTGGGAGCAAGAGGTGCTGTGAAGGCCTGGGGAGGACCCAAGGCTGACCAGCTCCCCCTCAAGGTGTGTGTGTAGGGTAGGAGGTGGGGGGAGATGAAGGCTGGGGCACATGAAGGCAGATGGAGCCCTCCCAGTTCCTCCTCCAGAGGCCATGGGAAGGACACAAGGTTTGGAGTCCAACAGACCTGGGTCTGCATCCCATCTCTGCCCCTTCTGAGCTGTGCAATCTCTGGAAACTTCCTTAAACTTCCTGATACCTCGGCTGGAAAATGGGGATAATAGCACCTACCTCGCTAGGTTGTGAGGACTAAAGGAGCTGGTTAGGTAGCAACACAGGGTAAACTGTTAAGTGCTGTGCAAATATTAGTTCCTTTTCCCCAGAGGAAACTTTGCAGAGGCAAAGGCAAAACACTGTGGCAGCAAAAACTTGGGCTCTGGAGAGAGATCTACTTGGAACTGAGTCCTGGCATCACTGAAATAACTGCCTCATAGGGAGACTCTTTTGGAGGGAACAGCACTCCCTTGGTTGTGTATTTTTAAAAAATACTTTGTAAGTAGTGGCTTTTACTTGATATTGGTGGCTCTTTGGTGGGTCTCGGAGTAGGGGGCAAATTCAGGAGGGGCTTGAAGAGCAGGAAGAAATTGCCGTGGGACCCTGGCGTGTTTTGGGGGAATGGTCTTCCCCAGGACCTGGGGGTTCTTCAGACTCAATAGCAATCTGTTCAAAGAGTGGGGTTGCCTATCTCCACTAGCAAAGGTCATGGTGAAAATGCAGCATCCTTGTGCTGGGGGGTCCCACTTCTGGATATTGGGGTGGACCAGAGCTGTAGCACTTTTTGCCTTGCCTTTCTTCCCCTTTCCAGCAACCGATGTGGTGGTAGTGGAGTCTGGCTTCTCGACGTGCACCAGGCTCCTGGCCCCAGAAACCTTCCTAGGAGCTGACATGTGGGTAAGGGTTCCTGCGTTCTTGCCTTCCCCAGAGCCTCGATGGGTCAGCAGGTAAGGGAGCGCTGTGTGGACCCCTGTCCGCCTGTGACACATTGCCATGGGCTTCTTGATGGTGGAGCCCTCTACTAGGAGCCGGATACCCACATACTGGGGCACCTCCACAGCAGGCTGTGAGGAGAAGAGGAGACAAGGCCTGCTCAGAAAGTGCTGCTGGAACCCTAGGCCCAGAAGGACTCAGGGTGGAGACAGATGGAAATAGTTTCTGGGCCACCTAGTCAGGAGACATTTTTGGGCTGAGAGGCGGGAAGCCTACCTCTGTCCTCTAAGGGGTCTGGCCCTGGAGGCCTGAATCAGTCCCTAGAGAGTCACTGAGCCCCTGGGATTAGTAACCCAGAGGAGTGGGGGAGTCTCGGCCATGCCTCTCTTCCATCTCCTTGCCCTCCTAAGCTGCCCTGGCTCCTGCTAGAGTATGTGTGGCTCCACTCCACAGGCCACTGCCAATGGAAAGCTTCCTGAGTGAGGCTCGATTCTCTGCAGAGAGAACTTGAATTATGACGTCCAGACAGATAAGAGGCTTAAACCTGCCCAGAGCCTCACATGAACCCAGGTCATATGGAAGCAGAAATTAAGAGCTTTAAAGAAGGCATTCTGTGGAGCAGATGAGTAGCAGATATGCAGAGGGAGGCAGAGAAATTGCTCCTGTGCAGTTTCAGTTGCTATAAAGCCAAGCTGTACTTCCTGCAGCTGGCTCCAGGAGAGCTCCCTGTATCTTGCAAAGAACGCTTCTTTTTAACCCAGAGATAGTTTGAGGTGTTTTCTGTGTCATCAAAGGATCCTGATTAGAATCTATCTAAACAGGGTCATTTGAAGCTGGTTAAAAATCCAGGCATCAGAGTTCCCAGAAAGCCCAGTTGATGAGGAAAAGCTCATCTTTAAAGAGGAAAGAGAGAATTAGAAACTTACCATTTTGTAACTAATACAAAAGGCAAGAATTAAAACTGGATATCAAAACAAGTAGGTGAAAGGATGACAGGAAAATGTGTCGTTTGCGCTGGGCCAAAGTATCACCTTACAAAGTAACTGATCATTGCAAAGGGGAGGATACGGCTTACAATGGAGAGATCTGGTAGCCACCACCTTAACCCCATGGTCAGACTTAGCATCACTAATCACGAGACACTCTGACAGTGTGTGCCTTGTGACACTGTATGCCTTGTGACACTGTATGAGGTACCCAGCATCACCTCCCAAGTGGTCTTGCCAAAAATGTTAACCTGAACCTCATCAAGCTGTATGACCTAACTTCTAGCTTACAGGACATTCAGATAACAGAACAACAGTTAAAAACCACCCCAAAGAAACAATCAGATAAACCCAGAATGTGGGACAGTTCTACAAAACAAACAGCCTGGTCCCTTCAAAAGATCCAAACTGTGGGGAGGGGGGGAGCAGTGGGGCTGTTCTAGATGAAAAGAGATTAAAGAGCATCAAAAAGAATACCTAGCAATAAATTCAACCAAGAAGGTTAAAGATATGTACACTGAAAACTGATGAAATTGAAGACACAAATAAATGGAAAGATGTTTATGGATTGGAAGAATTAATATTGTTAAAGTGTCCATACTACCCAAAGCAATCTACAGATTCAGTGCAATCCCTATCAAAATACCAATGGCATCTTTCACAGAAATAGGAAAAAAAATCCTAAAATTTGTATGGAACCACAAAAGACCCCAATTAGCCAAAGCAATCTTGATAAAGAAGCACATAGCTGCAGGCATGCTTCCCAATTTCACACTTACTACAGAGCTATAGTAATCAAAACAGTATGTTACTGGCATAAAAATAGACACATAGCTCAATGGAACAGAACAGAAAGCCCAGAAATAACCCCGCGGAATGAATTTATGACACGAATACACAATGGGGAAAGGACAGTCTCTTCAATAAATGGATTTGGGAAAACTGGACCCCTATCTTACACCATACAGAAAAATCAACTCAAAATGGATTAAAGATTTCAATGTAAGACCTGAACCCTAGAATTCCTATAAGAATAAATTCCTGGAAGAAAACATGTATTATGCTCCTTGACATCAGTCTTGGTGATGATTTTTTAGATTTGACCCTAAAAGCAAAGGCAATGGAAGCAAAATTAAATAAGTGGGACTACATCAAACTAAAAAGCTTCTGGAAAAAACAAGATGGCGCGTAGGTTACAGCTGCACCCACCGCCTCCCACAGCCACATCAAAATTACAACTAAAATACAGAACCACCATCACTCAGAACCTCCTGAGATCTGACTGTACAGAAGCCCCACAACCAGGGAGCTGAAGAAGCATCGAGACTGGTAGGGGCACAGACGCGGGCGGATCGGGGCTGAATTGCAGAGGCGCGGCCTCGGGCCACACCCGGTGCCGAGGTTGAAACCTGGGAGGGAATCTCAGCACCAGAGTTTTCCCGGAGGAGGGAGGAGGGAGGAGGGAGGGGTCCCAGCCCCACAGCAAGCCCCAGCCCAGGGCTCCAGGCCAGAAAGAGAGGTCCCCACAACTCCGGGCTATGAAACCAGCGGGGACTGTCCCTGAGGGTCGCGGAGGCAGCGGGAGCCCCAGCAGCTCCTCCTAAAGGACCTGCGCACCGACTCACTCGGACACACCCCCTCTGAGCCCAGCGCCGGGCAGCAGCCGGAAAGGACCTGGGACACTGGGGAGGAACTAACCTGCCTGAAAACTGGGAGAGAGGTGGAGGGGCGGCTTCCTCCCAGGCAGGAGGGCTGGCAGAGGCCATGGCTCCTGTGGCGAGTCCTCCCCGCACACAGCCCGAGGGCAGGCGCCATATTTGGATCGCCAGCACCTGACTCACACCTTTGGCCCCGCCCCATGATTCCCGGAGGCCCCGCCCCTCCCCACCTGCAGCTCATCCAGGCCATTTCCAGGGGCTTTTCATGCAAGTGGCCTCTCCGGTCTCATGCTTAGGACTTTCCTAAAATCTCTCAAACAAGCAGCAGCGACCCCATACAGCTTGATAAGGGGCCCCAGGCCTGGCACTAGCAGCAGCCTGCATTGGCTCATAGCTTGGCCTCTCCTGGACAACACCAAGCCCAGCACAAGTAGCAGCCAACTACGGTTTGCTGTGTAGCTCATGCTGGGTGGCCCTGGGCAAGGCACTGGCAGAGGCTGACTTTGCACCTCCCGGGAGGCCCCAGAGACAGTGCACCTGGTGCTCAGACTCGAC